GCTCTCCTCCCGGCGCCCGGTACTGGCCCCACCTGAGCGCGAGGGGCTGGGTCAAACACGTGCTTGGGGGGCTGCTAGGACGCGCTCCCCGCCCCCGAGGGAGCGCGCGGGACAGGCACGTGCTGACTGGGGGGGCGGGTACTCGGGTCACGTGCGCAGCAGCTGGCTGCGGCGAGGTCACATGACAAGGGGGACGCGGTCACATGAGCGCCCCAAGATGGTGGCGGCCAAGCGGGCGCTGCCGTGGTTGGCGGCCTCGCTCCGCCCGGTGAGTGGCAGGCCCGCGGGCGGGGCGGCAGGGGGGGTCCCGGGCCCGGCCCTGCTCGAGCGCCGCCCAGCAGGCCTGTGGCCGCGGCCTTCCCGCGCCGGGCCCCTGCAGGGGACGGGCCACGCGGCTCCTTTGCGACGCGGAGGGTTGCGGGGCCCGCGTGAGCCCCCCTCCGGCGGGCTGGCCCTTGTGGCGGCGGGGGAGGCCGGGCTTCGTTGCTGTGCGGATCTTCTGCCGCCTTCCCTCCCCGGCACCCCCTCGAGCCACAGGCCCCGCCCAAGCAGGGGTGTTAATCAGCTAAATCTCAGTTAACCGGTTAAACGGGACCCCGCTTCCCACCCACTGGGCTGCCAGCGCCGGCCCCCATCTCTGGGTCCCTCCACTCCCCGCCCGGGGTTGGAGACGTAGGGGGCTACTCACAGTGGTTAACTGTTCATATCCCTATACCCAGGCCTATCACAATCACTCAGATCCCTCCCCTCCATAGGCTCAGAAGGCAATTACAAAACACCCACATTTATTTTTTGTTTTAAAAGGCATCATGCTTTTGGGGATTGACTCGTTATTTTTTGAATGTTTGGGATCAACGGTACTCTGATGCCTTTTCTTTGTTCTCTAGTACGTGAAACAACGGTAGACACTGTTAATGTTAAGAAAAACATGAAAAAATGTTGTCCTGTGTGGTTTGTAACAGGTCTTTTCCCACTCTTCTGTGTAGATCAGCTGTACAGCAGCTGGCTCCCTTCCTAAACAAGTGAAAATAGTTGAAGTTGGCCCCAGAGATGGACTGCAGAATGAAAAAGTAAGGGACTCTGCTCTCTGTGCCTGGCTTATGATAGAGAAGATGTTGTAATAACTTTTTGGTTTAATGTTTGAACACTTGTAAGTCTGCTGTTTCAGCACTGCCTGTGTTACTTGATTTTCCTAGTCAGAAGTTTTTTTTTATCTCTCTGTCTACTCCTTCCCAAAATCCTGTTACTTTTTTTTTAACTTTCAATGTGTTTATTGCCACATAAATAGCCAAATGTGTTTTGTTGATTAATCCATTTGCCCTTATTTCTTGAGTCATTCTCTTAAATCAGTCAGCCTAATTTAATTTGTTATAACTCCCCTGTGTATTTGAGAAGATCATATATTTAACTCACAGGTGAGCTTATCTTATATTTGTATCACACCTTGTGTTGAACTAGAATTCCCTCTAGTATTTGTAATGGATTTTAGTGTGTGCTGCTGCAGGAGGATAATTTGCTGATGTCCTGGTCCTGCAAAGAATTAATCACATGCACAGTATTGTGCACCTTAGTAACATCATTGTCCTCAGTGAGTTTGCCTGTGTATGTAAATGGAAGCTTTATTAAGGTTTAATATCTAGTGTAAATTACATTCCTGAGAACACACAACTGAGACACATGCAAGGCTGGTAAGCCAAGAGGGGTTATAGTCTGTTTTACGTCAGTTGCTTTGTTTACCTGTTACAAAATCTACTCAGCACTGAACAGTGTGTGAAGGGTAAAGTCTGTGCAATCTCTGCAGCAAGAGTGAGAGGCTTGGTATAGCAAAAATTCCATTGTTTGCTTTTGGGAAAGAGCTGTGTTTTGTGCCTGATGCTGGAGAGCTCCAATTTGTTGTGGTGATGCGTAGCTGGGGTATGTCCCCTATAAAGGAGGAAATGAGACTGCCTTTCAGCCATTCAACCAGAGGCAATTGCAGTGCACAAAATGAAGGGAGATCCTACATGTACCATGACTACACTTACTAATGGCTGTTAACTCAGCTGTAGCTGAACTCATTGCTGCCTAGCTAGACAAAGGCTCAAGCCTGGCTCTTCTGACTTGCTTATCTTGTGCTTTAGGTCCTGTCCGCAGAGGACAGTGTATTATAAACCCATTCAGCCACATCTAACAGCCATAATTAAATACAATTGCTTTGGCTGTGTACATAGTGGCTTTGTTTCAGTGGGAATTTAGAGCAGTCTGCTCCATGCAAAATTGAGCCCTTAATTATCTGTGTTATTGGCTTCTACTTCTGAGGCTGTTCCATACGACCATGGCTCAAGTGTTTACTAGCAACAGAGTGAAACCGATAAGTATTGTTAAAAAAAAAAAATCCAGATTCTGAATTGTACAATGCTTAGGAACTCATAGAATAAAACATCACATTTTTCTTAAAGACTGTGTTATCTAGTGTGAGTGTGAGAGACACACTGTCTGTCTGTTTCTTCAAGAACTCATGCTAAATGGTAAGATCTAGGCCCACGAAATTTGGTATGCAGCTTCCTCTTAGCATAACTTAAAACAAAGTCAGGGTTTGATCGCCAGGAAAATGGAAAGTGATGGGTCTGCTAGTAGGGACAGTGATACTGTCCAGGGACCACAGGGGGGGAAGCAGTGGGCCAGAGATGGGGTCTGGGACAGGCATAACCCCATTGGGGCGGTGGAGAAAGGGACAGCTGTCTTCACCTATATATTTGAGAGAGTTTGCCTGTTTGTGTGTCTGTCTGTCTCCCTCCCAGCAGCCATGGAGAGGCATTTCTCACCTGACATCAAGTTGCTGCAGTGAGAGGGGGCTGGAGTTGTCCTGTTTCCCCAGAGCAGCCTATATGCTGAACCCCTCATTCCCAGCCCCACCCCAGAGCAATGATTTAAATAAAGAAAACCAAAAATTATTTGTTAAGGACCCAAGCAATGTCAGGTAAATCCTCTAGTAATAGATAACAGAACAAATCCTTTAATAAAGTAGATCTCTTTATCACTCTTAGTTTCTTTGGAGAAAGGAATATTTCAACAGATGTATAATATTTTGCTATTACATTTGTTGTGAAGTAACTTTAATCTAGGGATGTTTCTCTTTTCTTCCCTATAGAATATCGTTCCTACACAGGTGAAAATCAGCTTAATTAATATGCTGTCTGAAACAGGACTCCCGGTCATAGAGACTACCAGCTTTGTGTCTCCCAGATGGGTTCCTCAGGTCAGTAGCTGGGATTACTTGGGTTTCTGTGTAATGAGAAACTGGATTTCAATATGACTGCAGAAAGTTAACTGTTAAGGTTTTCTTTAACATCATTCAATATGGTCTTAAATGTTCCTGATTCTGGAATAACTTAGCATTGCTTCACTGGCCTATTCTCTCTTAGATCGCGTATAGCATTTATCATGATAGGTCCTATCAACTCCAATCAAGGGTTAAGGCCTTATTACGCAGAACACTGTGTTCACACATATCAAAGACTCCCTGTCCCAAAGAGCTGGAGACCAAGTATAAGACAAGAGGTGTCAGTGGCGTGCAGGAGCATAAGGTGATAATGAGACAGTTATGACTGGTGAAATAATAGGATAGACCAGAGCGTCCCTGTGAACCCCAATGAAGGCCAAATTCAGATTCAAATGGAAACAAACAAAAAGCACGAGAGAGCCCCTCTTTGAGTGGATGACTTTAAGTGACCACTTGAAAATATCCCCAAGGTTTCCAGTATAATTTTGTTTGGCCTTTAAAGAGCCATCTCTCTACGTTCTTGATTTTTGCTAGTCTCTTGGGAGTCTCAGACGTGGTGTAAAGGAGCTTTTTTCGCTCGCTGGATAAATAACGTGTTTGTATTTTCTAAAGATTTTTCTCCGTTTGCTGGTTAGATGGCTGATCACACAGAAGTCTTGCAGGGAATTCAGAGATTTCCTGGTGTTGGCTACCCAGTACTGACACCTAATCTTAAAGGATTTCAAACAGCGGTAAGAGAAATATGTTTGTGTTTTGGGTCAAGCTCTCTAGAGTTTTGGTGGGCAACCTGCGGCCCCTGAGATATTTTTTTAACTATTGCCCAAATGCAAGGTTGTCAGATTCTGCTGGTTTCTGTCTAGTTTTTTCCTTCTGGTGTTACTAATGTGACATGCACGTGAAGTGAGATGTGTGCTGATTGCACACAACATTGACTGAGAGAGCTGTGCTCTGCATCCAGTCGAAGTGCCGCACACCCTACGAATTCTAAGTATGCAATCATAGGCGACCAAATGACCCTATTCCAGGTAGGGATGTAGTAGTGTAGTTCATTAAGTTATAAGCAAAAGCTTATAGGTTAATGCTATAGACTACAGGCATTTCCCTCCCTCTGCCAGTACATTTTTTAGCAGGCTGGCCAGCAGCCTGACTCAGTCCTGGCTTGCGATGAGTCCAGAACCTACCCCTGCTGCGGCTCTGCATTTCAAGTATATTAAGAGCCAGGAGAGAAGACAGGCCAGCTCAGTTCTGGCTCGTGCCGGGTCTGGGAGGTCAGACACCACACCCCCCACCCGCCGACAGGGGCTGCTGCCACTCAGCGCTGCTGCCTATTTCATAGAAGCAGCAGCACAGGGCGACAGGCAGCCGGTCTGCAAGGGGAGCTGGTTTTTAAACTGGCTTCCCTCACACACTAGCTCTTACCTGGCACCCTGCACTGCTGCCTCTGATACACTGGCTGCTGGCCCCGCCCCTGGGGACTATAGAATAGTTGACTGACCGATAACATTTCATGAGGTTACTCACTATTCAATTCACCGATATTTCACATCCCTAATCCTGGGAGACCATCTTGGTTACAACAGTTGTGCAGCCCACTGAGATGAAAGAGGTCACTCTTGTGGCCTCCTCACTAGCCTTAGTTGCTCATGGCTACTCTAGTGCGTTATGCATGTCATTGTCCAGATGGGAGCCCTTCATACAAGGGGGAGATATGTAGAAATTGTACTTTATAACTTTTCTTCTGATTTCTTTACTCCAATGTTGGAAAGAGCTTGTGTAGTTTATCTAAAGAGGAACTTTTCTAGTGGGGAACTTAATATGCCACTTACAATGCAAAAATGAGTTCTTCATTCCCAGCCCACCCCCACTTCTGGTGATCAGCAGTGGTATTTCTGTCTAAACAAGCCTTTCTGTCCCACAGCTGAACTTCAGCTCCCCCTTGATCCCGTGGAAGTGGCTTTACTATTGGATTTACGGGTCTGCAGTCATTTCCTTGACAAGCTCACATGTCTCAAACCAAAGAGAATGTTTTTTCTGTGGAATGAATTGCGATGAGAATCTGGTCTCTCAGGGATTCCATTAAAGACAATTAAAGGCAATTCCATTAAAGACAGGAGGCTTTAGAAATTGCAACAGGTCTACTGCGCATGGCTGACAAAGAAATGTAGGGGGTTTTCGAACACACTATACAAAATGTGAAAAATTCTCTCTAGGGGAGAATAAATTTTAAAATGGCAAATCCTATAACGCCAGTAACTTCAGTAGAATAAGTAATGATCTGTAGCTCTGTCCCTTCAGCACATATCTGTTGCTGGCACAGGCTGGTACAGCAGCACAAATTTCATCCTGTTCAGGTTACTGCTGATACATACTTGTTTGGCAAAACTGGGCGTGGCAGCATTACCACATGGCTCTAGCTGTGCTGGGCAGGGATCTGAGCTCCACAGCAAGTCATGGAAGTATAACAAGGGGAACAGTGACTTGTCCAGAGCAGCCAGTGATAACATTGAGCTTAACAGTTTGGTGCTGAGTCAGTGGGAACTGGGGTCTGTTCATAGGATTAGAAGCCAGTGATGATGCGCAGCACCTTGCAGGACCAGACCTTTCACAAATGCTTTATTAACAAGAGCCATGAGTCCTTCTGTTCTTTCCCATCTCCACATTGGAAGGTGGCAGCGGGGGCCAAAGAGGTGTCTGTCTTTGGAGCAGCCTCTGAGCTCTTCACGAAGAAGAACATTAACTGCTCCATAGAGGAGAGTTTGCAGAGGTTTGGTGAAGTGGTGCATGCGGCAGGAGCGGCCAGTATTCCAGTCAGAGGGTAAGAGAGACCAGTTTGTTACCCTGTGGTAAGGCTGTCAGACCATACTTGAGAAGTAAAGCTACTGGGGCACGGGCAGGCTGGAAGCTAATATGGTTGGCCACTTTGATAGTATGAATGATGACCACTTGAGTGTACTGGTTTGGAGCCATTCCTGTAGCAGCTGAAACAGTGCAGCCTCAGACCATACTCCCATCCCGTTTGCAGTTCATGACCCACCTTGAATTCCCAGGAGCAGACGAGTGGGATTCTCTCTTTTTATGCTCATTTTATTTACTTTGCTTCCTGTTCTCCTGAGCCAGCCAGGAAATGGCAATATTAGACACAGCTGTGAAAGAGACATTGATTTCCTGGAAGTGGGATAGAAAAATGCATCAGACTTTCTTTCTTTCTTTCTTTCTTTCTTTCTTTCTTTCTTTCTTTCTTTCTTTCTTTCTTTCTTTCTTTCTTTCTTTCTTTCTTTCTTTCTTTCTTTCTTTCTTTCTTTCTTTCTTTCTTTCTTTCTTTCTTTCTTTCTTTCTTTCTTTCTTTCTTTCTTTCTTTCTTTCTTTCTTTCTTTGAATCGCTCTGAGCAGAGCTTTCAAAGTCCTTCTTTCTCATTCCTTGTCCCCTTTGGTGCTGACTGCATGACTGGGGAAACAAAAGAAGCCAAATCCTTTTTCACTGAACAAATGCCTTAATTGAGTCATCTTCATTTCTTCTCCAGTGGTGAAAACACCTGAGGTCCTAGCTAGGAGTTCAGCAGTTGATTGGGCACATTTGGTTCTCTCAGTGCTCTGTGAATGCATGTGAATAGGTCTCCAGGTCGAGGAATAAAATCTCCCTTTCCCAGTGGAAAGCTGATTTCACCACTTTTAATCTTCAGTTTTCGTAATGTTTTAATCATACGTTGGGCTCTCAAAGGACCCAGAATTGCTTAGTTCTTGTACAAATGCTCCCTGTATGAAGGTCCCTGAGTGAAGTATGAATCGTTTAGCAAAGTGCCCCATCCCAGTAGGGGCTGCCTGTTCCTTTGTGCAGAGGGGATTATTATCAAAAGTCTGTGTCCACAGAATTCCACCCTTTGGCTTTTGGAAAACTAATAGAAATTTCGGTTTATTTAGAATGCAGCATGAACCATGACTGACTTAGCCCCCCTTCCCCTCCAGTTTCCCTGATAATCTCACACTTTAACTGCAGGTATGTCTCTTGTGTTCTTGGCTGTCCCTATGAAGGAAAAATTGCACCTGCTAAAGTGGCAGAAGTGAGTACATCCGATCCGCTGTACACTTGGGACAAGAATCAAGTGCCCCTACGCTGCTAGGAGTTTGCTTTTTGGATGAGGCAGAATAAATTCTGTTGACCACATCTCTCACCAAGAATTAGGCATGTTCTTGCCAATTGCCAGCTCAGTGAGGAAGAGAATGCTGAGACAGATTTAACTGGCAGTGCTATTCATCACTTGTCCTCAACAATGCATATGTTTTTGGGTGTGGTCTAATGATTGCCATGTTCTACCCCAGAGGCAGCTGCATTTTTAGGGAAAAAGAAATGGTTTGAGATCCTAATACCAAATCTGTTTCTCATTAAGTGTGTCATTTTGGGGGCAGGTATCCAAGAAGATGTATTCAATGGGATGCTACGAGATTTCTCTGGGTGACACCATTGGCGTTGGGACCCCTGGGAGCATGAAGGAAATGCTCTCTGCTGTTGTGAAAGAGATACCCATTGGGGCCCTTGCTGTACACTGCCATGATACTTACGGGCAGGCTCTTGCCAACATTTTAGTAGCACTTCAGGTAAGTTTTTTCCTCTGCTTCAGTGAATGATATCTATTGCTTCATGGGGTTTGTCTCCCTTCATGTGCTGAGGTTGTATATAAACATGAGCTGTAAGGGAAAACTGAAAGAATTGGGTTTGTTTAGTTTAGAAAAGATAAGACTGAGAGGGGATATGATAGCAGCTTTCAAGTACCTAAAAGGTGTCACAAGGAAGAGGAAGAAAAATTGTTCTCCTTGGCCTCTGAGGATAAGACAAGAAGCAATGGGCTTAAATTGCAGCAAGGGAGGTTTAGGCTGGACATTAGGAAAAAGTTCCTACCTGTCACAGTGATTAAGCACTGGAATAAATTGCCTAAGAAGGTTGTTGAATCTCCATCATTGGAGATATTGAATAACAGGTTTGACAGACATCTGTCAAAGATGATCTAGATTGGGGTGGGCAAGAGGTGGCTAGTTGGCCGGAGGCGGCCCGCCAAGCTGCCAGATTCAGTCTGTGGTTCCCTTGCCAACACCCTTTCTACTAGAGTTGCCAGGTGTCTAGTATTGACCCGGAAAGTCCAGTATTTTTGTCCCCTGTCCAGTAAAAAATTTAGGAGTCCGGTATTTTCTGAAATGTCTAGTATTTTCTGATTTCCTCCTCTTCCCCCGCCCCCCCAGCCAGGAGGCGAAAATACCGGACGCCTGGCAACCCTATGACACACTCAGCAACTGGGCCCGGCGCCCCCAGACTCCCTGCTTACCTGGTTCTGCAGGGAAGCTGTGTTCTGGCTCCATGAAGAAAACAAAATGGCTGCTGGCAAAAAGCCTAAAGAACTGAAGTCTTCCCTGGGTCTTAGTGCTCAACCTCTCCCTTCTTGCTATCCCTATTCTGACTCTGCAGGCACTTAAAGCTGTTTTAATGCTGTTTTATTTTTTATTTTTTTGCTCAGGTTTTTTTTCTCAACAGCTTTGGTCTCCCCCCCTTTTTTTCCCTCCACAGAATTTTTTCCCCTGTGTGTGGGTGGGTGGGTGGTGTGTTTTGTTTTTTGTGGGGGCGGTGGGAGTGTTCGGTATTTTTGGGTAAACCATCTGGCAACCCTAAGCAGGGTCTTGATGCTGCATTTTCCCACCTGTGTCTCTAAAAACAGGCCCGAAATGTTCATGGGGTGTTCCCGCCCTCTAGCAAAATATCCAAACTTCCATTGGCCAGTTTCCGGCCAATAGGAGCTGAGAAATTTTGCTGAAGGCAGGAGCAGCAAATTAAGCCCCCTCATTCCCTGTGCTGGAGCAGAGCCATATGCAGAACAGCTCACAGGCAGGGAGTCTGCAGAGCTGCTGGCAGGGAGCCACTCAAGTAAGTGCCTCCCAGCCAGAGCCTGCTTCTGGCATCCCTCCCCTACTCTTCCCCCCAACTACCACCCAGATTCTCTGTATCCCCTCCCCCAACCTCCTCCAGGTCACAACCCCCTCCCAGACCCTGCACTCCCTCCTACATCCCTCCCCCAGGCCAGAATCCCCTCCTGCACACATACCCCTCCCTGGCCCTGCACCCCATTCCTCTGCTACACGTCACCACCCAAACCCTCTACACCCTCTTCCCCCTACTCCTGAGTCACAATTCCCTCCCAGACCCTGCGACCCCTGCTGCACCCTTCCTCCAGGCCAGAATCCTCTCCTGCACCCATAACCCCTCCTGGACCCTTCACCCCCTGCCCCAGATTATAATCCCCTCCTTGACTGAAACTCCCTCTCGGACCCCATACTCTCTTCTGCACCCCAATCCTCTGCCCCAGGCTCCCTTCTACACTCCACCTGTTGTCCCAGACCCCATGCCTCTCCACAGAAGTGCGGCCCTTGACCACTTTCCAAAATCTTGGAGTGCTCCTCCCCCCATTAAAAAGTATTGCCCAGCCCTGAGCTAGATGGTGCTTGGTCCTGCTGTGAGGGCAGGGGACTGGACTCGATGACCTCTGGAGGTCCCTTCCAGTTCTAGTGTTCTATGATTCTATATGCAAACCAAGAAAATCAGGCCGGGGAGGGTGAGAACTATCCCAAGTCCCCTAGTTGTGCCTTGGTGTGGTTGAGGTACACTCACACTGGGGTCTTTCACCTAGCGGTATCAGAGTCCTGTGTTGTGCTGTATTTTGTATGGGATGTGGGACCTGGATTCAGCATTCTTTGCATTTTCATTGAGAGCAGTACCTGAAACAAGCACTTGGGCAGTCAAGCTCTGTTCACGAATTATAACAACCTGTAAGTGCTGTAGCAGGGAGGGGTTAATAGCAGTTCATGGCATTGAGAGGGAGTTAATGGAGGAGCAATCATATGTGCAGATTAGTACAGGAAGTTTCTATCTGAACAGCCTTGGAATGGGCTGGCCTCGCGTGTGAGGTACAAGAGTGAAACGAGAGCACACTGGTTCTCTGGGCTGCATTAGGGACCGGACTGTCGGTTGCCTGCATTTGGCTGCATCTCCAGCACAGCTCACCCCTAGGAGCAAGGGCATAACCAGGGCTTTGTCCAAATGCCAGTTCAGTTCTTTATTAAATCTCTTCCCAGGCCAGAGGATGCTTGTGCCTCTGACCCAAACGTGAGCAGGGCCGTTGCTCTGGTGGGCTCAGAGCTGCAGACAGTTTTACAGACGCCTGTTTTGTATTCAGATGGGTGTGAGCGTGGTCGATTCCTCAGTTGCTGGTCTTGGAGGCTGCCCCTACGCACAAGGAGCATCGGGAAATGTAGCTACAGAAGATGTGGTGTACATGCTGCATGGCCTTGGGGTTCATACTGTAAGTACAGTGGGTTTGCAGGTGTCATGGTGCTGCCTGCTTGCGCTGCTGTCTTGAATGAGGCATCTGGGTTTAAATCAGGGCCTGAGGACTAGAGACTCTCTGGCTGGCAGACATGGCTTCCCTGTAGTCACATGGCTGTCACACAGACATAGCGAGGCTTTAGCTGGCTGAAAAGGGCCTTTGTGGTCTGTCACAGCAAAGGTAAGGGAGTGAATTGAAATCCATAAACCTAGCCTTAAAGTAGAGCCCTGCATAGCCACAGATAGTGGAGTGGATACCTGCACAAGACTCTCCCACACCCACCACTAGATGGAGGGGCAGGTGCCAGGGCCAGCCCCTGCACTGCCAGCAAGGAAAGGATGCAAGAAGTTGTGTCCTAAATCTCCCAGTGCTGCCCTGCCCAGCCACGCCCCGCCCCCTCCCCCCGCCTTTCCCTTCCCTGCAATGATCTGTCCAGCCCCGGGTGCAGTCTGCCTCTTCCCTGCTTGACTCTCCCCCATCCTAGCTCATTGTGCTCCCTGGCCCCTTCCCTCCAGATTTATTGTGCGGATAGAAGTACAATCTAGATTGCAGATTGGAGGAGTTGAGCCTGGCTGTTGCGGATTTATATGTTTATATCCACGCAGAGCTCTACTTTAAAGGAAACAGCCAGAAAACCCAGCCCACACTGAGCAATAAATAACAAGAGCCTATGCCACCTCTTTAGGAGTGCAAAAAGAAAAGAGGATGGTCAGGTCTGATCATTGTTCCAGCTTCAAAAGTCACTGTGCCTGTCCCCCGGCCCACTCCCTCTGGATTTAGCTTTCCTCTTTAATGATACTTTTGATCTTGAGCATCTCTTTCCCCCCTCTTTTCCCTGAGTGCATGCCACGTAATGCACCTGACGCTGTCAGAGTTGCCCAAGTAACCAACAGCCGTTCCAAAAGAGCATACCACTTTCCCACGCTGCCCTCCTCCCCATCTGGAATATGGTGGCATAGCTGTTGTGCAGTCCTCCCAGCAGGGGCATGTACAGATGGTCGTTGTGTTTCTGTCTTGTAAAGGGAGTGGATCTACAGAAGCTGATGGAGGCAGGTATGTTTATCTGCAAAGCACTGAACAGAAGAACCAGTTCAAAAGTGGCCCAGGCTTCCTGCAAACTGTGACACCGATCAGTTTTTCCTCTGACAAGTCAGTGAAGAAAGGATCAGTGAGGATGTGACCTTCTACCAATTTTAAATTTGCTGCCTTGACTGTTCTTAAGTATTCCTTCTTGGGCCCAGACTATATAGTAAAATGTACAGAGAAATTAAACAAGAACGTTACAGCAGATCTAAATGAACATGTCATACGTCTTGAAAGAGAGAGAGGAGCTGACCTCTGACCGTGCCCTCAGGAAGCTTGCATCTGGAAGAGTAATGGATGCAACAGTTGTCTTTACACCAGCCATGGGCAACCTAAGCTAGTGAGTGGGCCACATGAGAGGTCCTCCTTCATCTCAGTGGGCCACAAGACTGTCATAGCCAAGATGGTCTCCGAGAGAATAGCTTTGCTACCTGGGCTTGTGTACCTAGCATTTGCAAGGGGTGCCGATGGAGCCATAGCAGCACTTTTGCTTCAGAGGACATGCATGGCTTTCAGTCAGTGTTGTGTGCAATCCACACCTCACTTCACATGCCCTTGCTTTGCGTGTGTGTCACTTGAGTAACACTACTAGGAAAATACTACAGGGACAGAAACCAGCAGAATCTGGCAATCCTGCGCATAGGCAATGGGGAAACAAAATATCTTGTGGGCCACACGCAGAACCCTGATGGGCCCCATGTGGCCCTTAGGCTGCAGGTTGCCCAGAACTTCTTTACACACAGAGAGAAGACCCTGTAGGCACCTTGGAAGCTACTTTGAGCTTTCTTGATGGGGGTCATGGTTTTATTTGTTTGAGGTTAACATGGAGCTCAGAAGAACATCAGCTCAGGGCAGTTACCACCTCCAAGAGGTCATCATGATAAGACTAACACTACAGTGCATCCCTTTAGAGCATGGACTTGTTCCAGCTTCTCAGAACTGCATGGAGCAATCCTCTCCTCTCATCACAAGCAAAAGCTGTGATGAAAAATACAAGGAAGCACTTTCATTCTATAAACTAGGGTGAATAGAAAGGGTGTGGGACCCAGTTTTGGATCTTTGCTCCTAATATTCAGTAATGGAGGATGTATGGGTCATAAGATGCTTTCT